GTGATTTCGTGTCACGCAGTAGTGAACCTCTCTCTCTCTCTCTCTCTCTCTCTCTCTCTCTCTCTCTCTCTCTCTCTCTCTCTCTCTCTCTCTCTCTCTCACTCATTTCAATCATTGCTTTTGTTGCATGCGAGGTCCGCCAGAAGACCCAACACATGACATTTGCGAAATTGCATAGTGAATCGTCCAACAGGAGAAAAGAACGGGAACAAACCGCGAAAACCCACGACATGAGCACTACGAAACGAATTTTTCCCCCCATACATAACGCGGACCATACACGAAAGGTGAAACGTTTTCAGCTCGTTTCAACAAGCTTTCAACAAAGTTCAACAAGTTTTCAACAAATTTCAACACGTTTCAACAAGCTTTCAACAACTCTTCAACAACTTTTCAACAAGTTTTCAACAATTGTTCAACTGTTGGACCAACATCATTTCAATAGTTGGACCAACAGATGAACGCACCAGTTTCGGTTTTTCCAATATTTGGTCAGCGTTGGTTTCCTTGACTTTTGGTAGAACACATGACCCCCCCCCCGCCAAACAGTTTATAAACACAGTTCCAACGGTTGAAATATGGTGTTCACATATGCTCATCAAGGCCAAAAATTTGCCACAATTTTTCTGTTGGAAATGATACGGCTAGACCTATCCTACCTAAAATGATAGCAGTCGCGCAATTCGGGGTCTAAATAGGCTAGAAAGATAGACGCGTCAGGTATAGGACCGCGACGCGGGAAAGAAGGGTTACCTATTTTCAAGCTATGAGATTTAATTCCCCGTTGGGGCTCGAAACCGGGCACATGGCTAAAAGGATGCCTTACTGGGTCGTCGAGCCAGACTCCAGCCGGTTGGGTGGTGTGGTGCGGCGTTGAATAGGGGAGGTGCAGACAGTAGCCTGTTGGCTATGTCTCGCCGTTTTTTCACTAGGCAAAGACCTTCATATTGAAGGGTTGCTCCTATTGAGTGTGAAATAGGAGCTAACCCAGTAGGTTCCCATGTCAGACTTTCACCCAGCGGGTACTGGGATCGAACCCGAAATGATGTCACTAGGCTAGCTCCTTTTGGAGCAGCCGCAACGTGGGGTTGGACGCGACCGATTTCGGTCGTGACTGAACAACTTTTGCCTCAGAATAATATTCAAATTCTTGGCGATGCGTTCGGTCGTTCGAGCTGAACTCGGACAAAAAAAA